GCAGATGGGAATGCAAAATGAAATGAAACACAAGCCAAATAACAAGAAATAGTTGGTAAAATTTTGGGGTACAACACAGCCAAAGCTAAGGACTTACCTGCAACAGTGATATGGATTATTACCTGTGATTCGTAAATGTGCTTTTTTTCTTCTATCAGAGGTTCAGGGATAAATTGTTGGTTCTTCACCATCTTGGGCCCACTCAGTGTGGTGAAAGGAGGAAGGAGTGACGCAGCTTGTAGTCCTTTGGCTTGGGAATTTCTCTTCTGAGCTTTGGTGGTAGCAGTAGAAGACGCCATTGATAAAGTTTTGGAAAAAATGGGTTTGCTGAAGAAAGATTGGAGTTGTTTTGGAAGAGGTGCGTAAGTGATTGCTAGAGTGAAAAAGTTTAAAATGATTTCTGGTGAAATTATTTATAAGGCGTTTTTGAAGTAATCAAAAGCCACTATTCATCATTGAGGGCTACGAGTAGTGGGACACGCGGCGTTCCAGGATTAAAAATGGGGGCGGTGGTAGTTATTGCCTAGACCCACAATTTCATAGGTCCTAAAAAAGTGATGATGGTCTGAAATTTTATGGGATTCCCAAGAAATTGCTCATAATGGTCCGTGATGTCATGGACATGCGTAAAGATAGCTGAACAGTTTTCTTTCAAGTCATGGGTTGTCAGTTGCATTGACGCCTATGTGGAGGTCGGGTCAAATTGGATGCTGCCAAAAAATAGTCATTTTTCTTCAACATGGTCTAAAAAGACATTTTGGAGGGGGGGGGGCAATTTGTTAGCTCACAAATTCGACGTCCATACTAAATTGAAATGTTTAGATAAAATATTAAACCCTTGAAGAAGTATAAAAATCTTCGAGTAAAGAGACCTTCGAGTAGGCTGAATTATTTAAGTATTTGGGACTTAGAAAATATTTCCAAATATTAAAGATGCCACCTTTGATTGAGGCTGCTGGCTAAGTATTAGTGGAATTTTGAAATTCAAATAAAGGAGGAAGTAGTTATGCTTTCTCATGACAAAACAAGACACGTGACGCACATCCAACAAGTGATTACACGTGACATGACACTTGTCATAAGCTGGTCATTTTAGGAGGTTAAGGGCAGTTAGTTTTATCATTATAAATAGGGGTTGTAGCATTGGAATTCAGTGTGTTGTAATTTACTATTTGTACAAGTCACTCCTAAAAATACTCAAAGTATCTGAGTGTAGAGAAACGAGTTCTAGGAGAATGTGTGTCATGTAAGCACACCATCTTTACGTTTTAATGAAACTTATTTTATTTTTCTTAATCTTAAAGAGTTAATTTTTACCTCCTTGTAATTTACATGTTTCTTACATTTTGCTTTACTTTGTTTAAATGTTTTGAAGACTCTTTACTTTGTTTCTACAAATTCACGTCCTATTATTTTAGTCAAACCTTACCTTTACATTAACCTTTTATCAAAAGCACTGTCGAAGTGTTCAGCTTTAGATAGTTTTCTTTCAAGTAAAATTTAACACATGTCCTGGGATCAATCTGATCGATCCTGTGAATCACCAAAGTTAAATTTGGAAGATCAGCAGTTGTTCTCCAATTTTCAAGGGAAACAGTTATGTGAAGTCAATAATGAGAGTGATTGGAGTTGTGAGTGGTTGTTTGTTACAGGTTTGTTTGTGAAGGTGATGTTGTACGTGAAAAATGTGTGGAATGATTTGTGATGGTGGTGTTGTTGTGGGTTGTTGTTTTGCAGTGAAGGTGATTGAGAAGAAAGTATATGGGCTGTGATTTGTGGTTTTGTTATATGGTAAAAGTTGAGGTTTGTGTGTGAAGAATCAATGTACAGAGGTTGAGGATTGAAGAAGGTTGAAGTTTGTACGTGAAGGATGAGTGTAGTGGCTATCTTTTGTATGCGAAGAAGAAAGTCCAGCCACTACAATTATTTTTCTTGTTGATTTATACTTGGATTGAGACGGGTAATTTAGGATTTGTGATGAAAATTTGTTATGGCAATTTGAGCTTGAATCTTCTGCGCCTGCATTTTGTCCCGCATGAGCCTCTATTTGGATTGTGTATTTTTCAATTCCATTCCTTATTTTTGGACTCTTGTGACTTGTTTGTAATGACTTATATTTGGGCCTTGAAATGCAATTTGTATGGGCTTTGTTTATTTATAACTCGCGCCCTTGCTTCTTGCTTGAACCAAAAAACTTGGAATTACAATTGGTTTTGCATTTATTGTTTGTTTTGGCTCATGAATTTATTGCTTGAATTAATGATTATGATGGACAAAGAAAACAAAATGAATCGGAGTTGCACATCATAATCCTTGTTTGTTATGCTTACCTTGTTTTGCTCGTGTATTAATCAAAGACACATAGTCATGCCACACTTATACCATGATGCCATTTTAATTCCAAATTAAACATGTAAATGAATGACACTTTATGCTTGAATTGGATCTAAACTATCACACTTGAAACAAATTATTACATAAGCTTGAATTTCTCTTGCCACTCAAACCATGATGAAACAAAATGCACACTTGAAGCTTCTTTGAAAATGTTATGACTAAGATGAATATGGCTTAGAATTAGAGGTCATGCCTTGAGAAATGAATCCAAAAATGAAACAAGCTTGAACATGTGATCATTTGAATCACAAGGCACTTGATTTTTGAACCAAAACCCTAGTTGAACCAATGCTTGACCACCTGGTGATTTCCAACAAAAAAACACCTTGAACTTGATACACATTTGTCTCCATAATGGCCTATAACAAAAATGACTTGTAGATGAAGCAAAGATCTTGTATTTGACCAAGATTAGGTCCAACTTTTCCTTGAATCCAACCATGAATGAATGACCATTAAATAAATCCCAAACACTTGACTTGAGGCAATGATCCTTCCTTGACCTCCTTATAAACCCTAATCCATACAAAGAGAGAAATGGAAGCAATTGTACATGTTCTTTCTCTTTTCTTTTCTTTTCTTTTTTGTATTTTTGAATGCACAATTGTTAGATAATATGCTAATGATATGATGCACAAATGATGAGAATGTTATGAAAATTCTAGAGTAAAAATGGGAGTATGTCAGACAGGTTTGCCAGCTTCACTCTTTTTTTTTGGCGGACTTAAGACAGAGCAAACATGACTGATCGGATGGTCCGATTTTCGACTTTAATTTTTATCGTAATTATACTCAACATATCACTAATAACCTTTTTTCATAAAACATTCAAAAGAGAATAGTCAAATATTATATTTTCATAAAAATATAGTCTTTCAATATTATACATACCATGACCAAATATAAGTTTTTTTTATTAATTGTGTGAAGTTGTGATTTAAATTAAAACTCTTAATATAGAGAATGAAAAAAATATTAAATGAGAGAATCGTGTAAATTAGAATGACTTTTTAAAAATTATAAAATTAGTAAAATTGTAATATAAATTGAAGCTCTCAAGATCTAAAACAAAATAATAGAAACAGGAAGATAAATAGTGTTTTCAAAAAATATGTCTTTAAGAAAAAAAGACGGAATCTAATATTAAAAAGGAAAACAATTATATTAAATAAATAAAGTATTATCACATTTAAATGAATAAAGGGGCAAAGTTTGGTGTCAAAGTATGGTGTCATCGGATAGTAACTCGTAAATTATATTGTTTAAAAAACTATACAACAAATTTTATTAACAAGTCTCTCTTTGCTTCAAATAATGAATCAATTTACATAAAAACTTAATCATGAAATATAAGTCGTTAGAAAATATAAATGGAATTATAATATTCGACTTTTTGAAACCATATATTTTATTATTTAATACACTCTCTACTTCCCATTTTATTAATTTTATTTTATCACGATATTCATGGATGGAAGAGTTTTTTAATGTAGTTATAATTTATCTTTCTCGTATAAAATTAAGGAAATACTAATGAGTGCCCTCAGGACATTGGTTAAAAGATTAAAATGGTAAGTTGAACATTATTTAAGAGATTGAAAATATATTTTTTTTTTCAATACCCTAAAAAGAGAAATAATCAAATTTTTTAAAAAATATTGTGTGTATTAAGTGAACTAAATATACCATATTTTCCTTATTTGGAATTCTTAACTAGGATACTGGTTAACATGACCCTTAAAATTATTTACATGTTTAATTTGTATGAAATATAACTTATAAGTTAAAAGTGATGTAGTATATTTAAGACATTAAATGTCTATTTGTATAAATAAAAAAGTACTAGAAAACACTTAGATGGTAAGTGCTATTAAAAATTGAAATATTATGACTTTTTTCAATTGGATATAAAAATGGGGAAAGGTTATTCTAGAAATATATTGCTCCAAAAAATAAATAAAAAAACATGTAATTAAGAATTATTTTTCCGTAAAATATATTAAGAAAAAAATCATGTATTTAATTCATATCATTGAGCTCATATATTTTAGCTTGATTAAAGTATTATATTATTTCATTAATTTTTAATATCTATCTATAAATAAGAAATATACAAACAAAACTATGATCTATTATAATTAAGTTATCGCTAAAAGAGATAATGGTTTGTCAAGTGGATTGAAAGAAGAAGATTTGAAATTAGATGGTAAGTAATATTACAGTAATTGAAATATTAATACTTTTTCAATTATATGGAGAAAAATAAAAAAGATTATTCCAAAAATACTCCCTCCTCCATTTTTTATTATAAATAAACTTTAATATTTTAGGTTCATTGAATAATATATATGTATTATAAATTAGATATATAAATTTAATTATTCAATGAATTTAAAAAATCAAAATTTATTTTTAATAAAAAATGAAGATATTAAAATAAAATAATGTATTCAATTCATATCATTAACCTCATAAATTTTATCTTTATTAAATTCTTATATTATTTTATTTGTTTTTGAACATTTTTGGTCTATAAATTAATAACCAATATACTAAACTCTCATAAATCAAAATTAATTCACTACTAATAGAGAATGTCAAAAATGATTAACATATTATTATTGATTATGTGTTTGGTGACCATTATTACTGATCAGAGAGGTCATGGTATGCAGATAGTGTCAAAAGAAGAAGATTTGGAGTTGGAGAGGCAACTAAGCATCCTTAACAAGCCTCCTATAAAGAGTATTCATGTATTTTCACATTATTTATTAGTGGTTTCAATTGGTTTAATTTGATATATCTTTCTAACAATTTTGTTTATATTTCATTTTGGTAATTTTCATAGACAAAGTCAGGATACATAATTGATTGTGTTGACATTAACAAACAACCAGCTTTTGATCATCCATTATTAAAAAATCACAAATTACAGGTAAAATTATTTAATATGTATTATTTTCAATTTATGTTTTATTACTTGTACAACTTGTTTTAATGTTCATTTCTGTTTCCTTGGTGATAGAGAAAACCAATTTTTATATCAAACATCAATGAAACAAGAGTTCAGAATTCACCAACCAAACCTACATTCATCTTGGAAAAAGTTCGATGTCCTAAAGAAACTGTTCCTATTCGGAGGACAACAAAAAATGATTTAATTCAAGGAAAAGCGTTATTCAATGCTCATAATCTAACTCAAAATAGTTCTCTTAATCATGTAAGATTTCTCATATATGCAATTAAAATTTTAATTTCTTTAATTTATTTGTATAATAAACATTTATCACATTTTTTATTTATTAATATGCAAATGAATTGAAAATATAGTTTGCTCGTGTGTTTCTTTCACCGGTGGGTTCTCCCTATTATGGAGTCAGTGGAACTAGTAGTGTTTGGAATCCAAATGTTTATAAAGGCCAGTCAAGTTCAGGTTATTTATATGTTCAAAGAGGAGAAGGAGATGAAATTAATAAAATATCGGTTGGATGGCACGTGAGTTTGAATTTATTCTATAATTCTAATTTTCTTTTATTATAAAAACATGTATGTAGATATAATTTTAACTTTTATATTTAAAAGAATTTAAAGACATATAAAAATATTTTCTAATTTATCTCATATATGATATTAGGTGTCTCCACTATTATATAATGACGGTCAAACACATTTATTTTTGTTTTGGGCGGTAAGTAAATGTTTATATCTCTCTTAATATCACTTATTATTAATATGTAAATTATTTACTTAAGTGATGATTTCTCTATCCATTATATATATATATATATATATATATATATATATATATATATATATATATATATATATATATATATATATATATATATATATATATATATATATATATATATATATATATATATATATATATATATATATATATATATATATATATATATATATATATATATATATATATATATATATATATATATATATATATATATATATATATATATATATATATATATATATATATATATATGAATGAGTAAAAAAAAATATACAACAACTTCTGTAATGTAAGTGAGTTTAAGTTTATCTATGGTAAAAAAAAAAATTTAATCTACTCTTAAAATGTTAAAATTCTATATCTATTGGCCCCTAAGTGTCAAAGTTACTCCCTGTAATAATTTCTTTTTGGTTTATTCTTCAGATTCAGTGTTCAAATTGTACGTTTAGGGAGATAAAACAAAAAAAAATATTACAGGAGAATAAAGTGAAACTCGCCTATATTGCATGAGGGTGTTGTATATTTAACCATATTTAATTTTACTATATATAATTATTTAAAAAATAGTTTAAATGTTAGATATTTTGAATGCATTTTATGCTAAGAATTGGGGATGAAAAATGGGCCTTTCGCCTTGTCCCGTCTTAAACCCACAAAAAAAGAGTGCGTCAGAAAAACCCAACAAGTGAAATTGGACTTAAAATCTAGTTCCCGCCAAAGTGACAGGTTGATGGCCGGCGGGCTCGCCTGCCTATTCTTTTTAGATTTTTTCTTTATTTTTTTAGTAGATTAAAAGATTTTATTTACATTTTAATTAGAAAGTATCAAACCAACAATTAGAATGTTGAAGATGTAACAAGTGTGAGTAGTATGGGTAATAGTCTCACATTGGTTGATAGTATGGAGACTTGAGCATTTATATGTGAGAGAGTCCACTCACCTATCACCTTAAGGTTTTGGGTGAATATGTTGTGTGTCTCTCACAAAGGTGTTGCTCTAAAAAGGAAGTCTCACAATGTTCAATGATTCGTCCCTAGTGAAAAACTCTCCCAACATAGAAAGCATAAAATGGAAACTAAAAGTCTTAAACCATCAAGAAAGCATAAAATGGAAGTCCCACAATGTTCAATGCTTAATAATTAGGCTGGCGGCCGCTCTTTTTTGACGGACCTAAGAAAGGGCTAGATTAAGGCGGGACGAGTTAACGGGTAGGCGAGCACAAAATCTCAATTTAACCCACTATTTTTAAGCAGGTGCGCAGGCGGGCCACGACCCATTTTGCCATCCATACTAAAAATGTTACTTTGAACTAAATATGTTACCACTACTTTTATTATTTTTGTTAATATTTATTTTCTTTTTTAATATTAATTTATATGTAATTTTAACTGAAAATCAAAATACTTGTTTTTTAAAGTAATATAACACACTATTAAAATATTACAGTCAGGTAAAAGTGGATGCTTTGATATGCTATGCAAGGGTTTTATTCAGGTTGACAGATCATATAACTTTGGTGCACATGTATCTAAAACATCTACATATGGTGGAGAGATTATTGAATTACCGCTTAAAATTTCTCGGGTAATCACTTTACGTAAAGTTTAAATTTAAAATATTTAGATATATAATTTCATAAAAAGATTTTCTAAACTTTAATGCTATCAAGTGATGAACTTAAAAGAGATAATATACATGATATTAGAGATTGTATACGTATGAGATTGAATTCTTTCAATTTAATCATACACATTTCAGTATTTACAATTCTAATAATAAAATTATTAAATGTTATGGTGTTCAGGATAATGTTGGTAATTGGTGGTTAAAAGTGGTAGATAAGGATATCGGATATTTTCCTGCATCTTTATTCCCTTCCTTGACCCACCAAGCGGATACAGTGGGATGGGGTGGATATACAGTAACTCCAATGGGTACTACGAGTCCAACAATGGGTTCCGGATACAAACCAGATAATGACTTCACTCATGCATCTTATTTTAGATTTGTTAAATATTTGGAAATAGTTGGAGAAGAAGTTGATCCTCTACGATTTATGGTAAAGAGTTACAATGATGCTCCTAATTGCTATGGAGTTACGAACTATGAAGATAAAAGAAAGGGTGAGGGTTATTCTCTTCAATTTGGAGGACCAGGTGGTAAATGTAATACTTAAGCAAGTTTTTATTATATGTAATAAAGATTTCTAATGATATGTTAACACATATGATTTTCCTTTTATTATAATAAACATATTGAAAAATATTAAAATATAAAATTTTTAAGGGTTTTTATATTCAAATCATATAAAATATTATTCTTTAATTATTTACAAGGTAGTATAGAATATAAAATTCTATTATTTTATAGGGTAGTAATAAAGAATATGAAAATATTTGAAGGAACTTTTGAAATATCTATAGTTTTAATTCTCAACTTAATATTTTATTTTAATTTGTGTAAATATTTTTCATTCAAAGGTTGTTTATATCAACTATTTGCTTTAGCATCACATGAGATTATTATTTCATCTTTAGTTAATCACTAATCACTACACTGAAATTTTACAAAGCTTTTTAACAGGTTTTTTCTACAAACTTCATTTATCATAATTTTTGTATAATGCTAGAAAACATGTTTAGAAGTCTTTGTTCAATAATGGGGTTGGCCGCAATGGCCCCATCACTTCCGCACTGCCACATGTACACGGCAGTGCGCCGAATTCTAATCATCGCCACCAATTACTGATATCCCATCGCAAAAATGGCTTAACATGTCAAATTGGAACCTCACTGCGTTGGGTTAGGAATTTCTGAAGTTTAGGTTTCCTCTGAAAAAGATAAGTTATTTGCATTGTTATTTGGTGTTTTTAACCTCAAACCGTGAGTTTTACTACTTTTAAATGATCGCCTGATTTTGAAACTAACTGAGTTTTGTCAATATACATCAAGAATATTGGAGTGAAAACTTTATTTGAAATATAAACTGAAGTGGGTGTCCCTGTTACAGTTCATGCACTGACGAAACACTGACTATTATGCCTTTATATAAGAATTATGAGATATTGATTTGGGAAATGAGGTAGTTGTCAAATTGAGGGTGATAAAAGAAGGGTTTGAGTTTGTAACTGTATTAGTCAATGAAAGACTCCCTGCATTTTGTACTAATTGTCAAATGATATGTGTTGCACCCCAAAATTTGCTCAACCTTTTCTTTATCTGGATTTATGTCTCATTGCATTCATATAGCATTAGCATTTGCATGCCATTGTCCATGTGCAAGGGATTGAGAGAGTTGTGCTTATCAAGAGGAGGTTCCCAAAGTTTCCATGCCTAATCAAAAGGTCTTATTCAAGCTATCAAGTGCTTATCACCATTAGAAGAAAGTCAAAGCTCATTGAAGGGGTGGATGGTTAAGATTGGTGTATCCCTTACCTTGGGATTCAAATGAAAGTCATCAGATGATATTAAGTCCATGGTCATGGATGGAGAGCATTCTATAAGCTCATTGGATGTCTTGAGGGTCATTGAGGGGTTTTTGCAAGTCATTATATCAAGTGTAAGAAGCCACAGTCAAAGGTGGTGCAGTTAGGGTTCATCTGGTCAACCCTAAGTCAACTGTTGAATTAAAGGAGATTAAAACTCAATTCCTAGTCTCTATGATCATGGAATGTTATGTTGATATGTCTAAACTGATATTCCAAGATCAAATCAAGAAGAATCAAGAGTGTGAGAAGTTGCTAAGCTAGGGTTTCTAAGCTTGTCAGTGTAAAATCCCCTGTTTAGTGCCCAACTTCAAGATCACATATCTCAAGATACAAGTTTCATCTCATCTTGACCTCAACATGAAACTTGTAGAGCATTTTTCTAGATTTATTTTGAGTACAAGAAGTCATTCATCTGATTTCTAGAACTCAAGTTATGAAGCTGGCAAGTTACAGGTCATTAGCTGAATGTGATTTTGGTCAACAAAAGTCAACCAATTTCCAAGACCTTTTTGACCTAGAAGCATGTTTCTCCTCACTTTGACCCAAACATGAAAGTTGTTCCTCATGGTCTTAGCTTTCCAAAAAGTACTAGAAGTCCTTCATTTGATTTGTGAAGCTCAAGATATGAAGCTTGCAAGCCAGGGGTATTTTGGGAAACTTTGATTGTAGGTCATTTTTTATTATAGGTCAATTTCACAACTTTGCACACCTCAAATAAAACTTTTTCCAACATCAAATTTGCTCCAAATGGGGTCATCCTTGTAATCAAACATCAAACTATCATTGGATTGGCTTGGATTGAAGGAATGGTGAAGGAAAATTCCATGGAAAAGCCTTAAAAGCCTTAAAATCAAATAAATTCATTTTGAACCCATTTTAATCAAGTTAGTGCATTTTTTGAGTCCACAAATCTTTCTAAACAAGATGCCAATTTTGGATTTACAAATTGAGGGCATTTTCATGGTTGTTTTCAAGCTTGCTTCAAATGGAAGTAACATATCAAAATCACACCATGAGATTAAATTGAGGAACAATTCTTAGCCATTGGATCAATATACACTACCAACAAGCTTAGTGAATGAAGAAACAAGCCTTGGAAGCTCTGTTTTTGTGCATATGGTGAAGCTTGCATAACCAAAATTTTGGATTTTAATTGGACTTCTATGGGCTTGGATTGGGCTTCTTCTTCATCCAGATCCATTCTATATATTCTCAGCATCATGTACAAAGTTTCAGTTTGGATTTTGGAGCAAAATTGAGGGAGAAAACAGTTACACACGAGCAAGAGAAAGTGAGAATCGAATTCTCTGATTCATCAAGTTTCAAGCCAAATTAAGCACAGAAAAAGCTCCATTGAAGATCAAGGAACGATTCTGGATTGTTTTCATCAAGTTTCATCAAGAATTGAAGGTCCAACGGAGCTATTCTGTTAGGTAACCTATTTCTCAAACTTTCTCTCTATATATGCCATGATTGCACGCCATGTTCATACATTCTTGATCTTTAAGCTTCATAGGTGGATTCTGGTTAAAATTTCTTGATGTTAGTGATACTTTGTGATGAGTGCTTGATTTTAGTTTGGATCGGTTTAGATGATCTAGGACGTGTTAGGTTTAGGTAATCGTGGATTCATGATCAGTGAGAAGAGTAGATGAATTTAGGCTTTGAGTTTGTGAGATTTGGTGAAGTTTCGCATCACCTGCAGTTGAGAAGCAACCGGAGAAGACGACCGGAGCCGCCGTGCTCCGGCATCTTTGATTCTCCCTCCAACGTTCATGTTTGAATCCCTTAAGAGCCACGTGTGCCTGCCTGATCCCTTAGATGTGACGACTGATAGATCCAATGGCCTTGATTGCGTCTCACCATGCGCTTGCTTTGACTTACCACATAGAGTTCACTCAAAACTCACCGTTTCATTAAACAGACAATTGGACTTGGGCCTTAGTTGCTTATGGAACCCCTCTCTGAATGAAGCCCATTGAATTAACGTGTAATACTTGCTATTCATACCACAACTTTTCCATTTTTCATTTCTTTTTTCTTTATTTTCATATTTTGATAACTATTTTATTTTAATTCAATTAAAATACTTCTAAATGCTGAAAAATCCTACCAAAATAATTTCTACTCATTTCAAGATGTAAAATAAATTTAGGAATTTTTAATTTAATTTTTCTGGACATTTTTCAATTAAAAATAAATGATTCTCTTGGAAGTGTTTTGTTGGATTAAAAATTGCATATCTAGCATTCTTGATTTTATTTCTTGATGAAACCTTCACATAAATGCCTGATTTTTCTTGTACATATTCTTGATGCATTAATTGATTTTTGTATATTTTCCCCTCTGTTTTTGGTACCTTTTGATTAGGGTTTTGGCTTGATCTTTAGGACTCTCCCTTTATAATAGTTCTTAGGAAAACCCTAGAACGTTTCCCTATGTTTGCCTAGTTAGGTTTAGAATTTTTCTCTACAACTTTGACCCCTGGTTTCTAACACCAGAGGGGTCTCATAGGAATTTAATTGGATTTTTTAGGTTTAGTTTACTATTTTTAGTGTATTTTACACTTTAGGTCACCCTTGTATGATTTTCACTTCTATACTTGTGCTAGTTTGATTCTATTTGGAATTTTGTGTATTGTTTGAGTACCCAATATTCATGTATCCATGTCATGTATATAATAAATCATTTGTATGTTAAATTTTAGGCCTTGGTCATGTTCATAACTTGTTTAAGTTTGGCCTCCTTTTAGGACTTCCATTTAGGTCTTTTTCAGGTGTATATGTTGAATGATCTTCACTTCCTTAACATGATTCTCTTGCAATTTCTTGTATGTTCCTTTTCAAATGCTTTATGTACATTCTCCTTTAATCTCCCTTTCTATTTAATAACCTTGGAGTACCATTTAAAGTTGCTTAATCCCTCCTTAGGAGGTATTTGAAGCTTGACTTGAATAGTGAACCATGAGGACACATTTTTGTGCATCTTTTACACAAGTCATAATGAGACTTTGGTTGAATGACATTAGGGATGTCATGGCTGTTTTCTCTTCTTCTGTCACTCTCTTTTGGTTTATGATTAATCCCATGTTCAAGTTAAAGGCCTTAGGGCATTGTTTGTACTTGTTGTTCTTGCTTGCATTTGAAGGTTGAGATGAGCTTGTGGTGGTCTTTACCCCACACAATTTCCTCCCTTGCTTGTGTGTTTTCTTTTTGTGTATCTATTGTTTGCATTAAAGGTTGAGGTGTTCTCCCTTTGCTTGTAATGTTGCATTGCATGTGCATTCATTCACATTCACATTTCAATTCAAGTATTGTATGTTGTTTCGTTTCCTTTCATTACCATGTTCCCTTAGGAATTCTCACTTCCTTGTTTAAGGATTGTGATGATAGACATTAGGTTGAATCATTTGCATGATAACAAATAGGATAGAATTCCCTTCTCAATCCTAACCTTAGGACCATTTTGCATGACAACTTTAGGGTTTTGATTTAGTCCCCTTTAGAGTCTTTTCTCTCTTCTCATCTCAAAACAATCTTAAAATACTTAATAAAGATAATGGATGTTGTGCCATGAGCCTTGTTATTGGGAAATAGTGATTGGGGGTTACCTCTCAATTGCTTAGAATGTTTATTATACGTCCTTAGGACGATATGTGACGCATTCGCTCCTAGGTTTTAGACTTTAGT